TTTCATTGCTTCCTGCACAAGAGAATCAAGGATTAGACTTAGGAACCCAAATAAATTTGGGTTCCTTGTAGTGAGAAAAAGGGTGAATTAAACTTCTTTTTGTCCAGTAAGGCAATACACGTTTTATAACGAATGGACCAGGTTCCTTAGCAGCAATTACCTTTTCAACAAAAACCTTATTTTTCTGTAGGGACCGAATTCTAGCCTTACAGTTTTCATTAAAGTGTCTAGTGTTGCCACAGTGAGTGCAAAGCCAGTTATCAGGGACAATAACATACTTGCTATGTGGATTGTAGGAAGTCTTTTCCTTTTGGAACCCGACTCCCTACCTATTCCCATTATTGCTTGTATACATGGCAGTGATTGTATCAAAGGACCAGGTCCACTTTAGAGATTTTTCTAGGTCATTTTTAACTCTGCCTAGATCTTCTTGAAGTTGTCTGTTTCTTTCAAGTTTAGCACACATACTAGATTTCACAGATTTGAGTTTATTTTCAAGCTTAATGTGTGCCTCACTTGCGACTTCCTTTCCCTTTTGGATAATCACACAACTGTTTTCCCTTTTTTATTCCTCTATTATTTTTTTTAGGGCCATGACGACTACCAACAGGTCATCTCTCTCTCATTTTCTACGTTTTTAATTTTTTTTTTAGTCAGAAGATCCTTTTCTTTCTTTAGAACCTCGATGGTTTCTTTTAGGTCGATCACTACGATTACCGGACCATCTCTCTCATTTTCTACCTCTCCTAGTTCCATAATTAATGTATTTTTATCATTTATAAGACTGTGATCAGCATCAAATAAAACATTTGTCAAAGATATAAGCTTTTTCTGAGAGTAAGACTTGAAATTTCTTTGAACGTCCAGAAAGTTTTCCTCCTCATCATCATCTTCATCATCGTCAGATTTTGCCATCAGGGCAAAGATAGAATCATATTTAGCTGCTTCACTTTCAACTGCCATCATGGAAGTATCACCTTGTGCATCATCTTCTCCAGATTCGCTAGAAGAATCTCCCATGCAGCAAGAGCTTGTTTCACAACATTGTCAGCGACCTCTTTTCTCTTGAATCTTTTGTCAGGAACCGGGTTCCTCTTGGCTGCTTTGTTTGTGTTGTGCTTGTACTGGTCTTGCTTGAGGAGAGGACAATCCTTGATGAAGTGTCCTGGCTTCCCACATTTATGACATAAGTCATACCCTCTTGGCTTGGTGGAGCTGCCCTTTTGGAATACCTCCATTCCTGCGAACCATTTTCTGAAATCGCTTTGTCAAGTAAGCCATATTAGCATCATCACCACTTGAGTCATTATTGTCATCTTTAAAGACCTGGTTCTTATCCTTCTTGGGTTCTCTTCTTTCATGGTCCTTCTTTTTCTTCATTTCATATGTCTTCAGATTTCCAATGAGGTCATCAATAGTCAGCTTTTGCAGATCCTTTGCCTCTGTGATAACATTGACCTTGCTTTCCCAGGAACCAGGTAGTACACTAAGTATTTTCCTGACAAGTTGTTCCTTGGAATGATTTCTCCCAGAGAATGAAGCTCATTGATGATGGAGGTGAATCGAGTGTACATGTCCTGAATGGATTCCTCATCCTTCATATTGAAGAGTTCATACTCAGTGGTGAGCATGTCGATCTTCGACTGCTTGACTAATATTGTTTCTTCTTGTGCCATTTGGAGAGCTTCCCAGATCTCCTTGGATGATTGACTGGCAGAGATCTTGTTGTATTCGTCTGGTCCAATGCCACAGACGAGGATATTTTTTGCTCGAAAGTTCTTCTCTATAGCTTTGCGGTCAACATCTTTGTATTCCTTCCTTGTCTTGGGAACTGTCACTGCTAGTTCATCAATGGTCTTCATAGGGACGAAGGGTCCATCGCAAATAACATCCAGAGCTCTGAATCTTCAGCCATGATAAAATCATGCATCCTTGTCTTCCACCATCCATAGTACTATCCATTGAATCTTGGTGGTCTGTAGGTTGATTGACCTTCTTCAAAGTTTGGTGGAGCAACAATTTGGATCCTTTCTAGCTGTAAGCCTGATAGAAAGAACCTGCTATGATACCAGTTGATAGAAACTTAGGATCCACCAAACTGTATAGAGAACCTGGTTCTCTATCAGTTCCCACAGAATACACACAATAAGAGATAAGTAAATGACACATCAGAGTTTTACGTGGAAAACTCCCAGCTCACGGGATTAAAAATCACGACCTACACTCGTAGGATTTCAATTTCACTAACCGAGAAACTTTTAGATTACAACCTATTATAACCTAGGAATTAAACTCTTAATCTCTCACTCACTTGTAATAACTCTATTACAAGCCTCTTTGTAATAACTCTATTTTAAAGCTCACAACTCGACTAACTCTAGCCAAGACACAAACACAAGGTTTATGATTTTACAAATGGTTTCTACACAATGCTTCTAGCTAAGCTAAGTAGAAATTACAAGTAAATCACTCTAACAAAGGTGCAACACAACTAAGGATATATAATAACACAATGCTGGAAACTAGTCTTTCAGTATGTTGTTCTTTGTTCTTAAAGCCTGAAAGTCACTTGCAAGATGGCAACACACTTGAGAGGAAACTTGATTATTTCTCGGATGTGCAAGTGTGTATCTTCTTCATTGCTTCATGTTAATAATATCCAAGTGATGTCACTTGGATGATGCAAGCAAATATACGATACAAGGCATTCCTCATAAAGTGATTGCTGCACTGTTCACACTGTTGCGTGTGTGCAGAGGAACAATTGCAACAACTTTACAGCTGTGAGCAGTTGACCTGTACAGTCAGCAAGGGAACTGATGTTCATATGTTCCTTCTGTCGTCTCTTTGACTCTGATTGTTGGAACGTGTGCCCGACTTGAGACTTGTTGTTCTTGAGCATTTTAAGGATATGTAACAGGTTCCCTATCTGGTTCCTATCATTAAGTTTGTTAGATCATCAAAACATAACATGGCACATAACCTATCAAACTCCGATGTTCAAAAGATGAAAGTAGTAGAGATGAGCATGCTGAGATGAGTATGTGGGCATACAAGGAGAGACATGGTTAGGAATGGGAATATTCGGGACAAGGTATGTGTAGTATCCGTCATGGACAAGATGCGGGACCGAGGTTGAGATGGTTCGAGTATGTGAAAAAGAGATGTTAGAACGTTCTAGTGAGGAGGTGTGAGAGATTGACGATGGTAGGTCTGAGGAAAGGCAGAGATAGGCCGAAGAAGTATTGTAGAGAGGTGATTAGGTAGGACATGACGTATCTTCAGCTCACCAAGGACATGACCCTTGATAGGCCGGTATGGAGTGTGAGGATTAGGGTAAAAGACAGATATGTAATTGCTCGTTTTCCATTTTCTTCCAGTAGTAGTAGCGTTATTTTAGGATTCCCATATTCTTAAAATTCTACTACTACCTGATGCTGCTTGTGTTTTGATTGTTCTACTTCCTTGTTGTTCTTACTCTTCCCTGAGTTTTACACTATTACTACATTTCTTTTTTATACTATCGTGATTTGCATGCTTGCTTGGAGACGAGGGCCTACCAGAAACAGTCTCTCTATATGCATAATGTAGGGGTAAGGCTACATATACATTACTTTCCTCAGACCTTTAGTTGTGGAATTACGATGGGTTTGTTGTTGTATATTTCCTTTTAACAAAAACATGGGCAAAATGTGAGCAGACGTCAATTAACAAACAACAACAACAACCCAGTAAAGTTTCACTAATGAGGTCTAGGGAAGTCAATTAACAAAGTAAAAGAAAAATAGATGGAACAGATGATGGATGAGCACTTCGGATTTAATATTTGAAGGGGTCCAACATCCAAATGGATCCTAACTAACCAATCATAAGATTGTGACATTCTTAAAGAGGAATACTATGAGATCAGCATACCAAAACAAACCAAATATAGTAAAAAAATATCTCAATTGTTCTTGTTTAGTGGCTAATCGCAACTTGTGCGACTGCAATTTGTTCGAGTTTATATGTAATAAATAATTATGTTCCACTTAATCCTAACCAGTCAAGCTCGGTATTTCTGCATTCTCAATGTCATTCACCAGTGCTACCTAAAACAAGCTTTTCGACAATAGTTACCTAACTTCTTCGGATATACTACTTTTCTTGTCCAATAAGTTTTATTGTTTTTCTTCTAAAAAAATATTTTTTATGTAGTATTCCCGCGGTCTTAAATTAATTATGTTGCTTCAACTATTCAAAATATGGACCTCTCTTAACCATATATAATCAATATATTCAAACTTTTCAAAAGTTGAGTTTATTACATTTTTTCAAGCTGAAGTGATTGAAATATATTAAGAACTATAGGTTTTATGTTAATACTTGCGCTCAAACTAAATGAAAGGAAATGAATCTTATGTAAAATTTCTAAAATTATGTAGCTTGCTGTGGTCTACATCATCTCCAGAATTTTGTATTGTTTTGGATAGTGGTACTACCAAAGGGCTTTTAGGCCACTTATATTCAATCCTTTTCTTCTATACATTACTATTAGCCAATCACAGGCTTACAACTCGGCATAGTTTCTATCTTCATTATGCAACCTATACTTTACTTCTTGATGTTATACTTGTAATTATAAAGGTTTTCTTTTCTAACATACAAATGTGTTTACTCATAAAAATTAATATGACTGATTTTTTTATGTCATTAAGATTATATTAGTAGATTTTAAGATTGCAGGCCTCCTCAATAAAACAAAAGCTAAGTTACTAAACTAGTACAGCATATCGAAAAAGACTTCCTCTCATCATATAATAAATTTTCTAAAAATGATTTTATCTACTACACAGTTGTTGTAATTTGTATTTGTACTGCCTTCATAGGAAAAAAGAACAAAGGAGAGAAATATTATTAAATTAAGGAACAAAAGCAGTCTTCTTACAAAAGTTGCAGACACATTCATTGTATCGAATCATATACTAAATTTTTACACATAACCACAAAGGAACAGTAACTATAACATAATATGCCAACTTAAATTCTGAAATCTGCCTAAATAAATTTTTTAGGAAAATCCGCCGCCGCCTTTGGGCGCACTGGGTAACTTGCTCACAGCCGCTGCTGTGTAATGTAAGTTGTTAACCCGTCATTATCAAATTTTCGTCAGGATAATGACAGTCCAAGAATCCGGTGATGAAGCCCAAGCCCAATCATTTCATCTGATTAACGGCACGTCCAAGTCGTGGAAGCCCAGTTGGTAACGCGTTTCACTACAACACAATTTTTTTATAAAAAAGATAAGAAAAAACACGCAATACCATTATGCAGAAATAAAAATTCCTGAATTTTCCCCAATCGTCAAATTCCCAATTCCTTTTCCAACCAAACAGCAATTAAATACCTTCGAGTGTAAAATCCTCTCCAAAATTTTCCTCCCGTCGGGAGCATTTCGTTCCCTCTTTTTTCCGGCGACTGATCGGAGATGGTTTCACCGGAGAATACCAACTGGCTTTATGATTATGGGTTCGAAGAGAGTGCCGTCCCTGATTCGAATTTCTCAGCTACTGCATCTGGGTTTAATTGGCCCATGCAAAACTTGAATGGTTCCAGAAATGTTAGGTATTTTATTTGCTCAAATTTTGCATTTTTTATGTGACTCAGTAAAGGTAGGATCTTTTAGTTGATTGATGAATCTTTATTGTTTCCGTGATTTGGAAAATTTTGGGTCATGATAACCAGTTTGACTGCAGCTGTGCTTTTCCTCTATGTGCCCTAAAGTTTAAACCTTTAGGGACTTTTTTGCTGCACATTTGGAATTTCTAATCTTGGGTTTTAGTTTTTCAGCTGTCTTTCTGGGTCTAGTTTTGGGCCCAAACATAGTCTAACTTGGCATGATTTATATTTTGAACATTTTGTGGTTTTTACCTCTTTACTTTATCTTATTGTGATTTGATGGCACTGTGTTACTTGTAGTGTTGTTCAGGTCTAAGTTTTAGAATATGAAAGCAATTCATTTTTGTCATTTTCCAAATGAAAACTTAATAAGATTTTGGAAGTAATGGATTTCCACTATCTTATCTACGTGCACAGGTGGTTAGTAGAAAATACATCGTTTTACGGAGAATTATATGTATCTTTTGGATTAGAATTTAGAGGCCTACCTAGATTCAACTGTAGAATTAAGATAGAATTGCTGAAAGTGTCGAATTACCAGAAGTTTCCTCTTTGTCCGAGTTGAGAAGGTATAAACTTAATGATTTTCAGTGCAAGCTACTATAAGGTTCCTAACATCCAGCCCTTAGTGGAGTAGCAGCTTGAAGATATAATACTATTGTCGAAAACTGAAATATTTGACTTGTCCTCCCTCGCGTGTTACCTACTATCCATCAGAATCCTGCATTTCGCTTACTGAGTGATGGCATCATCAGAATCTGGTAGTAGTGGCAATGATTGGATAAGAAATAATGCAGAATGAGGATGTACTGAGAATGGAGGATAGGGAGATACTTTTAGCACAGAGCATCTGATGTGCAGAAAGAGGGGAACAAATATTAGTGTAGACATTACGACAAGGTTTGAAGGGAATAGGCAACAATATTCATAAACATCGTTAAAGGGAAGCACAAAATAGGAAAAACTTAAACTAGGAGGATGCTATTTCTTTGGTGAGAATCTTGATGGCAGTAGGTTGAGGAAAAAATATTAGTACCACTTAACTTATTGAGAACAAAAGGAGGAAATGCTAAGAGAAGGTGCAGAGAAGAAAGAGGAACAGATATGGAGAGGAAAATTAGAGGAAAGAAGTGTTTGGATATTTAAAGATAGACTAAAAAAACGAAGGATATAGAAGGAAGCTAAATAGAAAGGAGAAGAAAACGAAGACAACTGGTACTACTACAAGAACCAACACGACAACTATGCCTCAATCCCACACTAGTTGAGTCAGCTATGAATCCTCCATATCGGTTCCACTCTGTTTTGACCAATTTTATTGCAATATTGATAATATGTCTTCAAAGATAATTTTACATCTCACACTTATCCCTACACTTACTTTTAGATTGACATAAGTTTCTAAACACAGCGAGGAAGCTCCTGGCAAACGTTGGACCTAATGTAATCATACCAACACGAGTAAGCCTTAATCTCAACTAGTTAGTATCGCCTGTATGGATCTTTTGCTTCTACTACTAGAACTGTAAATTAAGCACAAAATGGAATAATGTTCTTTAATCTTGGCTAAAGTTGAGCCATGCTGGGGAGGGGGATTCAATGTCTGTAGTACTCAATTGAATGACAAAAATTTGCTTGATTGTCAGCTAGATGTGTTCAGTGCACGTGATTTAAAATTTCTGAATTGATGTAGCTATTGCTGTATGAAAATTTTCGATAGATCAGCAGGGAGTTAACAGGATGCATCATGAAAGATTTTTTGCTTTCTAGTTCAAGTTTGTGCATTCTGCTAGGTTTCTGTTGACATAATTTTCAGTCTTTCATGTGCCTGATTCTTCTGTTTATTGTTTTAGTTTTGACCTCTGTTTTCCTTTTTCTTTTTTGTGCTTGTTTCTAGTGCTGAAGTTGATGGATCCATTGGTGAATCAGACTGCCCAAAGGAAAATGGTTCTAAGAAACGGTAAGAACTTTCACCTTTTCTGGACATTTTTGTGGTAATCTCGATTATTGTTGTTGAATAAAGATGTGATGCTGCACTCAATCATTGGATGTAGTTTAATTTGAGTGGCTACTGTTGTCAACTATTGTTAATCAAATCAGTGAGGTGACACGTTCCTCCCTCTCTTTTTTAAGTTCTGAGATTTCTTTACCTTTTTTATTTCTGTGATTCATCGTTCTAAGAACATCTGCTGCTTCTGCTTTCAAATTGGCGAGATGTAAGTCTGAAATCCTTTCAACCAATTTATGTGTTTCTCACAATTTTAGGTAATTGTTACAGGGCTAGAGTTGAATCATGTGCTCCAACAAGTTCCAAAGCTTGCAGAGAGAAACAGCGGAGAGATAGGCTAAATGACAAGTGATCTCACAACCCATTATATAAGAACTTTTCTCTTTATTTCATGATGAATTGCTAAAACTGACCTAATTATCAGGTTCACGGAATTGGGTGCACTCCTTGAGCCTGGCAGGCCCCCCAAAACGGACAAATCTGCCATTCTGGTGGATGCTGTTCGCATGGTGACCCAGTTACGTGGTGAAGCTCAAAAGCTGAAAGACTCAAATTTGAATCTACAAGAAAAGATAAAGGAGTTAAAGGCTAGTATTACTTTTTTATCTTGCATCTGTCCTTCCACGTGGTTAAGCAACCCCTTGACAAGAGTGGGTTGCTCTAGTGGTGAGCACCCTCCACTTCCAACCAAGAGATTGTGAGT